AACTTTTACACCGAACATGTATTTAATAAGAACATTTAAACCTCATTAAACAATTTTCCCTAAACTTTGAAGGTAAATACTCCAAAAATTACAAGTACATATTTAATAACATTTCAGGAAATTTTCGGTGCTGGGGAATTGTATCGATTTTTACCAAAAAAACTCCAAATTTTATTAAAACACCTACCATTTCCACAAGAACAAATATTTTTAAATCCCCTACGTACTTACATAGATTTTAAGTTATAAATTCAGAAAAAATTCGTTTCTGTTTGAAGTCGAACACTGAAAAAGATTTTGATTGTCAGCGCTGACATTTCAATTTTTTTATAGTTATGAAAATAATTTTCTTGCAGTTCAATATATACTTAACAATGATATGTAATTGAATTTTCAATGGATCTCATTTGTAATCTTCATAGTGGTCAAACCCCTTAAATAGTTTCATTTCGGGCTAACAAACGTATATAGGTATATTACACTGCCCCACCATCGAGACAGAACCAGGTACTTTGCATTTTTTTAAACAACCTGGTATGAGTTGCTCCAAAATATTTTTTCAAGAATCATCCTCAATTTGTCATTCTTCAATGTTGAAGGAAGGATTTTAAGCCTGAATTGAACTTACTTGTTTGATACATTCTTTGTAAACTGCAAATTCCAAAAAAGAACTCGGTTTTGACATACTCTCGCATCTACCTACATATTTTATCCCTTTAAAACACGATTTTTAAAGTTAGATAAATGCCTGGGACTGATTGCATTGTCTTTTTATATAATATATAAATTACTAATATAATTAATTATATATAAATTATATAATCTTTTAAATATAAAAACCGCCCTAAACGAAAATCGATTTTTTGGTCATAAATACCCTTCTCTCAAAAAGCGTACACATATATGTTATAAATTAAAATTTGATCACTTTTTTAAAATTCACATTCATGAGCTAAATTATTCTCTTCAATTATATCAAAGATGATTTTGTAAATTATTTATATATTATATTATAAACGTACAACGGTCGCATCGTATTGAACAATAACAGTAAAGTGGCATACTTTACATAAGAAAAAAAATTTTACAACTAAGAATTTATTTGTTGTGACTTAAATTCAGACTACTTTTTAACATTAAATTAAACTGAAGCACAGTATTTACATGGTTTATATTATGTGTAAAAAAAGAACCATTTTTGTATGCATGATTTAGGTATTACTCTCTCATTTGCAGAAAATGTTCTTTTATATAAGCCTTCTACCTGGTAAAAATTTTAGAATTATTTACAAATCCAAAAATGTCAATAATTTGGAATATAATATCACTAGAGTGATTGCTAATAGATAAATTGATGCGTTTTTAATTACTCTATAAGATAATATTGATATTTCAAAGGTTAAATAAAAATGTTCATTTACAAATTTTTTTCAAAATTTTTTAGTTTTAAATTGTCAATAACTCTGGATGGAATAATCTTAAAATGTTCGCTAATAAGTCAAAATATGCGCCTTAAAAAACTCTACAAAATCAAATAAAAATATCTATAGATGTTAATACATTTGTTTACACTTTTGGCCAAAAAAACTTTTTTTTCTTAAATTTTTTAACACAAAAAAAAATTAGTTAAATCTAGTTAATCTTACTACTACTAATTTATACAAAAATCCGTAAAAGGATATCGTTACTAAAAAAAATATCCAAATAAGCCCGAAAATTAACTCTGACAATTTTCACTAATACAATACTTTCTCTATGAGGAAGGAATTGAGATATTTTGATTCAAGTTTAGAATTTTACATATGGTTTTGTTTATCAAGTTTCACAAAATTTGAACTAGAGTGACTATTCTAGGTCGTCCTAATACGTCCTTACGACGTATTTTGGGTCTCTGAATCAGAATGTGTGGTCAACATTTAAAAATTGGCTCTTATTTTTGAGATAACCTCAAAAAAGTGCTGAGAGAGCAAAATTAAATCAAAAAATGAAAAAAATGTTGTATTATTTGTATCTATGTATGTATGACTTGCATATATGACTTGTGTGACTAAGACGGCTCAAAGGCCAGAAATAAAATAAAAAAATTAGAATTTTTTTCTTTGACACTGCAATAAAGTGTTTTCATGTATTTTTTTTCCTGCTGAATCCGAATTCGAAGTCAGAATTAACAGATTGTCTCAAATGTTCAAAATAACTCTAAAAAACTTATCTTGAGTTTTTTTACAATTATCTCAAAAATTTAAGCAAATCTAAAAATTCTGACTTCGGACTCGGATTCAGCAGCAAAAAATACATGGAATTACACTATCGCAGTGTCATACAAAAATTTTTTCACTTTCTGATTTTATTTTGCTGTTTGAGCAGTTTTTTGAATTTATCTCAAAAATAAGAACCAATTTTTAAATTCTGACCCCGGATTCGGATTCAGTGACCCTAAATACGTACGGAATGACTAGTCTAGTTCGCCGGACAATTTTGTTTTATTTTGTGGGGCTGTGTTATTTGTCCGCCGGCGAGACCTACAATTTTAAAAAAATTTAGCCCTTTAGCTCTTGTAGTATTCGATATATTTATCCCCTTCACTGTCAGCGACACACTTGGGGGACGTGAACATTTTAACGCTAAATAAATGAAATTTGTTCTATAAATTGTCAAATAAATTCTTTGATATCATTTTTCGCACACTACAGGTATCAATAATATACTAAGTTAAGTATTAATTAACTAATTATTTATTATATTTATAAAACAAGACAAAGAAGACAACAAAGCAAACACAATACAAACAAAAAAAACAATTAAAAAATCAAGTCAAAATCACGAAAAAAAAATTTTTTTATGTCACATTTGAATTCAGCGACCCAAAAAACTCTTATATACTAAGTTTCATAAAAATTTATTGACCAGCAATTGCTGGACATTTTAGGACCACAGTCTGAATTTTTTCTCTGACAGTGAAGGGGTTATGAAATTGCAGTCTATGTACACACCCAAACCCGCGGAATGCCATCCTTTAAAAAATGTCATTTTTGGACTCCTGAAGTAGAAAAACATAAAGATACATCAAAAAATGGAACTTGAAAAATATTGGTATTACAATGTTTCTTATGAGGAAACAATAGGGTAAGAATTCCTAATGTGGGCCCCTAATTTTTTTTGGGAACTAGGGACTTTTTTCATTCTTATATATTTCGATAGTTTATGATGGTATAATAAAAACCTGTAAATCGAATATTTACAAAAGCTATTAAGGATCAAAATTCTTTGCAGAGTTTTCTAAAATAATAAATTACTCGTGTTCGGATGAACCGATTTAAATAAAAATTGGAGGATAGCTTAATGAGGAGTCATACTTAAGATGAAACATTAAAATTTAATCAAAGCACATAATTTGTTTAAATAAACGAATTTATTTTTAGCAACGTACATATTGCGTTCAAACATGTTTTGAAAGCGAATTCATTTGTTTTTTCTCAATTTCTATTACTTTTTTGAAACTTTGCGAACCTAAAAATATTATATTTCTTGAAATATTAGAGAATCCCACTTTTTTATTGTTTTTTTTTATTTGTAACAAAATATCGAACCCGTAGTCGAAAGACCATTTATGAGTAATACATATTGGCTATATAAGTATAAAATATGCATAATATTCAATTGATTTTATACAATGGAAGGAGAAAAAGTAAAAAATAGTAGTTTTAAATGAAAATTAAGCAATAAAATCTTTTGAATGGCAATAAATTTTGAGGTAAATTAATAAATTCTTAAAAGCTTATTCTATTTGAATCTTTAAAACAAAATCGTGAAAAGGATTAACATAACTTTTTTAACCTGAAAAATTAAATTCGTTTATTTAAACAAATTATGTTCTTTGATTGAATTTTAATCATTCATGTCAAGTATGACTCCTCATTAAGTAGTCCTCCGATTTTTATTAAAATCGGTTCATCGCCGTTCGGGAGTAATTGACTATTTTCCAAAACGATGCAAAAAACTTTGACCCTTACTAGTTTTTGTAAATATTCGAATTTCGGAAAACTGTTTATAAGTTTTTATTATATTATCATACTCTCTAAATTTGAACCAGCAAAAAGTCGCTGATTCGCAGCGATAAGTATACAACTGATTCAAAAAGCGTATATACACTGATAAAGGGGGTATATACGCTGTTTGAATCAGTTGTATACTTATCGCTGCGAGTCAGCGACTTTTCGCTGGTTCAAATTTAGAGAGTAGACTATCAAAATTTATAGGAATGAAAAAAAATCCCTGAACTCAAGAAAAATTAAGGGCCCACTTCAGGAATTCTTACCCAACAGTGAAAGAAATTTTATAAAATAAAATTATTACATTAATACATTGTGAAATAATTTTTAATGAATATTTCACTCAAAAATACGCAAAACGTAAAAGTTGCGTAATATTATTAAAGCATTTGCAAACATCTTTTATTTTATGCTCTTAAAAAGTGGCTCTTTTCGATTATAGGAAGAAATGAAATGTTTGTTGAGTTTGTTTTTTGTAATTACGAATATCTTCCTAGATAATTTGCCATTAAGAAGAGAAAAAAACTTTTTTTGCACTCTGGGATTTAATATTAAATATAGTTTAATCAAATTAATATCAATATTAACGTACTGTGGGTAACCACATCCATAGAATAACATTCTTCTTACGCTGTGCTTAAACGACTGCATCTCATGCTCTACTGATGCCAGGTAGTTTTAGTAGACCAATTGATGTAACAGCACTCATATAAAATTGCTAGGTAATTCAAAACCACTGTGGGTTATGCTAACCCACAGCTTGATTACAAGCTTGATATATTAGTCCCTATGATTAAGAAATATTAAACTGATAAAATTTGTCGATTTAACGAAAAATTTAAAGATATAAATAAAAAAATTTAGAAAAAGCTGAAAATGGTTGACTAGATTGCAGTCTGTGATTCTGTATTAATATATTTTTATTAAATGATTAATTAATACAAACAGCAAGTTTAATTTAATTTAAAAAAGTGATAGCTGGGTAAGCTTTTTTTCGCCTTATTACTATTCTCTGCGAAGATAACTAAGGCTGTTTATAATGCGCCTTTTAATCGCAGTGAACTGAAGATCTTCAGGAGTGATATCAGGAATTCTATCCACTCCTTCCTGAAGACTATTGAGAATTCCTAAAAAGAAGAATCAAATTTATTGTAATTTGATTATTGAGGTATACTCCTTAAAACAATATGTTGCTTATATTCTTTTATATTGCTCATATTGCACACTTACTCTGAATGTTTAAGACGTCATTATCATTGATTTTAATGAAATCTCTCTGATCAACATTATGTGGCGGTCTTGTAGCTGCCACGAAAGGAATCTGTTCCTCCAGCCAGTAACCACTCACAAGGTGGTTTATTCGAGTTGAATATGTTCTACTGTTTTTTGCTTTTTGAAGATCCCCATTAGTTATTTCAACACCGGCATGCATAACCTTCAAAATAAATATTAAATATGCAAATAAATACACGAAGAACAGAAATTAACTGGTAATAGAAATGTACTAATGCATTTATAGTAAGATTATTATGTACAAAATAATAACTGTACTAAATTCAGATAGGGTAAATGCACGTAATATCATCCGGTACTGGTAGTTGGAAAAAAAAAATAAAAAAAAAATAACGCGTTATAATGATTAACTGGAAGAATATTGTACAAGAATGTGTAAAGTTATTTTTTTTAATGGTGTCCCACACAGCACCGAAAGTTTCCTAAACCTGTATTAAAGATGTGCGTGCCAAGTTGGAAAAATTTACCGTAAAGCTTAGCACAGGTTGTGTAAATATGTAAATGTCCGCAATTGAGTAAATGCTTAGCGTAAAACTGTACTGAATCTTTAAATTACATATTTAGTACAGGTTTAGCGTAAAACTGTACTGAATCTTTAAATTACGTATTTAGTACAGGTTTAGCGTAAAACTGTACTGAATCTTTAAATTACATATTTAGTACAGGTTTAGCGCAAAACTGTACTGAATCTTTAAATTACATATTTGGTACCCCTATCGAAAATTCCGATATCGAAACCTATATAGGAAACTATATGGGAAACTATATTGTTTCCCATATAGTTTCCTATATAGGAAGCTATATATAGCTATATATAGCGTCAATAATATAAAAAAAAAATTCTTCCGACGTGTTGACTCTGAGACGCGAACCCTCGACCATCATAGCTCTCAACCGCACTGGGAGCGCCTTAACGGGCTCGACCAGGGGAGGCTATGAAATATCTTGAGAAAATGTCTCTTATAACGAAAATACTTTAAACAGATACTTATATTATTTTGTAAAGTCATCAAACAGTTTTTCAGATGTTTATTATTACAAAGAGTATATTATTGTATACATATATTTTTTTCCAATGGTATATGCGTTTTAATACCCAATTTTATATTCGGAGTTTATTAACTTCAACATTTTAATTTAGAATGACATGAATTTAAATTTTAATCAAGTGAAGTCTGCATAAATTTCAATTTTTTTGGAAATAAATTAAGTAACAATGTTCGTATAGCAAATTTTTTTTAATAAACTAATGTAAATTCATGTCATTCTAAATTAAAATGTTGAAGTTAATAAACTCCGAATATAAAATTGGGTATTAAAACGCATATACCATTGGAAAAAAATATATGTATACAATAATATACTCTTTGTAATAATAAACATCTGAAAAACTGTTTGATGACTTTACAAAATAATATAAGTATCTGTTTAAAGTATTTTCGTTATAAGAGACATTTTCTCAAGATATTTCATAGCCTCCCCTGGTCGAGCCCGTTAAGGCGCTCCCAGTGCGGTTGAGGGCTATGATGGTCGAGGGTTCGCGTCTCAGAGTCAACACGTCGGAAGAATTTTTTTTTTATATTATTGACGCTATATATAGCTATATATAGCTTCCTATATAGGTTTCGATATCGGAATTTTCGATAGGGGTACCAAATATGTAATTTAAAGATTCAGTACAGTTTTGCGCTAAACCTGTACTAAATATGTAATTTAAAGATTCAGTACAGTTTTACGCTAAACCTGTACTAAATACGTAATTTAAAGATTCAGTACAGTTTTACGCTAAACCTGTACTAAATATGTAATTTAAAGATTCAGTACAGTTTTACGCTAAGCATTTACTCAATTGCGGACATTTACATATTTACACAACCTGTGCTAAGCTTTACGGTAAGTTTTTCCAACTTGGCACGCACAGCTTTAATACAGGTTTAGGAAACTTTCGGTGCTGTGTGGGGTTATTTTATAATATAATATGACAGGAAATATTTTATTCTTGCTTCAAATACTTACCCTACTTCTTCTATTTCCTAAATGCTGCCTTAAAACATTTTCGTCGGGAAGCTGTTGTTGTCTGTCTGGTGCCATTTCTTCTCTGACTACATTTCGGATATCGTCCAAATTAAAATTATTTTGTGGATTTGCTGCATTTGGCAACACATTTCCTAACAAAGTGTTAAGAACTCTTATTTCCGCATCCTTGGCAGCTGATTGTCTTTTTAAATCGTCAATTTCTGCACGCAAAGAATTTTCGACCTCAACTTGATCATGAGAAGAAGGTATCACATTTTCAAATTGTATAGTCTGTGGAAAAATATTAAGTTAAATTTTAACATTACCTTTATTTTTTTTAATCACATTTGTCTCAACAGCATACTGAATATTATAGTAATATAAAGGTTATTTCAAAATTTTAGACTCATTATAATATTACTTGGCGATATTGAGATAATATTGATTAATACTCTATCCTGTATGGAAAAGAAGTGGAAAATGATATTTTGACGCATAAAGGTCCTCTTTAATAAAACAGATCACATATTAACAATTTCCTATAGACTTTTATTAAAAAAACTTAAAATTATTTGATTCAAATATGTGGCTTTTCTTACAAAAAACGTTTTTCCCCAACACTTGCTCTGATAGTACCACCCGAGGCGAGAAAGTAAATTTTAACATGTTGAAAATATCCTGGTAAAAGTGAACCTTTATGACGTCTTTCACCTTTTTCAGATCTTTTACTCCTATAATTTGTCATACCTTTCCCCCCGCCCAGAGGGTCCGCTCGTTTTCAATTAAACATAATTACACATAATTAATTAAAATTATGTAAAAGGTGCTGCTCGCAAGGTGTTGAGGAAAACGTTATGTACAATACGTGGTGAAAGAATGATTTTTCTCTAGTGATTCTCGACTTAACTCTCGACTTATCTCTCGAAAATCACCCACTTTCACCACTAGTTGTACAATATACTATTTTACCCAAATAGCACAACTATTTACAGCAATTTTGCAGCAAGTTTACAATGCCAAGTTTGCAAAATTGCACTGCAAATTTGTGGCAAATAGCGATATGTCCTCCCTTTTCCAACTTTGCATTATAAGTTTGCAGGAAAATTTTTCAGAAAGTTTGCAGAAAAATTTCTTTGGTAGTTTGCAGAAAAATTTTTAGGAAGTTTGCTGAAAAATTTCTTAGGAAGTTTGCAGAAAACTTTATGTCAAACTTGAAGAAAACTTGCAGAAATTTTTAGAACAAAATTTTTAAATTTTTGAGTTGTAAATATGATAATATTTTGTTAATGGATAACTTTCCTGTGGAAAAGGCCACTAAAATCTATTGCGCAGCCCTAGGTGCCATAGATAACTACTGCGCATGACATGAACTTGAGCAAATAATTAGCAAGTTTTCTTCAAGTTTGACATAAAAATTTTCTGCAAACTTCCTAAGAAATTTTTCTGCAAAACTTCCTAAAAATTTTACTGCAAACTTTCTGAAAAATTTTCCTGCAAACTTATAATGCAAAGTTGGAAAAGGGAGGACATATCGCTATTTGCCCCAAATTTGCAGCAATTTTGCAGTGCAATTTTGCAAACTTGGCATTGTTAACTTGCTGCAAAATTGCTGTAAATAGTTGTGCTATTTGGGTTATAAATTCCCTACTCATTTCTTTGGCTATTAAGTTCAGGATGGCCACCGGACCTTGAAACCTTGAATCCTGCTATGGGATTCCTTTTAGCAACGGCGCTAAGTAGCGCATAGCATTAATTAGCACTACAAAATTAATTTTTTTTACAGACTTATTGTATATGATAATCAAGATCAACTCCCGTTTGAATTTTGTTAAAAAAATTAATTAGTGGCGTGTAAGATAAAAAACAAAGTCAATCGGCGCTACGAGTTAGCGAATTGGTCAAGCTTTTGTTACAAATCGCTAGGGTGTAATCGCTTCGGAGCGTAGCACAAAGTCACTAGCTATTACACAAATTCAAATTCACTTAAGAGGAGAATACACTGAGTTTTTTTCAAAAAATCAAATTTTTTTTAGTTTTCGTTACCATAATTATTTAAGATGGCGGTAAAAATTGTTTACAATGTTTCCAAGGGTTATAGTTTTTGAAGTATAATTATAAAGGGTACATAAATAAATTTATTTGAGTAAACAATCAATTGATTTAATAATAATAAATTTATTTTTGATTCAAATTTTTGAAGAATAATAATAAAGGATACATAAATAAATTTATTTGAGTAAACAATCAATTGATCTAATAATAATAATCATTTAGTTAATATTTAAAAATAAGTTAAGTTAAACTACTAGACTCATAATCTAAGAATAGATAAAATCATTTTTAAATAAAATGTAAAAAAATGGAACTTTTATTAAAAATTTACAAGAATTAAATTAATAGAATTAGAATAAATCTTTATTTATAAGGGGGGTAAGGGGGGTTGAGTTTCTAATTTATTTGTTAAATAAATTAATTTAGTTTTATAATTTTTTATTATACGAATTATATGATTATTCTTATTATGTTGGATAATGAAAACTTTGTTTCCCATATTAATATAAAAATTTTAATTTGTATAGGCAAAAGAAAGGATTTTTAATAATTAAGTAAATATTAAATTTAGATTTAATTAATTAATAAATTTTTAATATAAGAAGGAATAAAGTTTATGTTAGTGGAAAGGTAAGTTAAATAAATATTAATAAAATATAATTAAATTTTAACAAGGGTCTAATAAAAGAGTTGGAAACTTAAAAATGTAAAAAAATGTACAGTACAGTACAGTACAGTACTGTGTTGTACTACCCTGTTTTTGAGTTGTTTTTTAATTAGAAGAATCCGTAGCGTAGCGCTACTGAGCGCCGTTGCTAAACGGAATCCCATAGCTGGAAGTTTAAATTTCAGAAAAATTTTGGTTTTTTGTTCCTGTTCATAAATTGTAGAACATTTGGGTACGATCAAAGACCTCTGCACAAAAAAGGTTAATACACATTGGTTTTTTAACGTCGACATTTCGATTTTTATATAAAAACAATTTTTTTGTACTTAATATTGTAAAATTATTATATTTACTGGAAAAATTTTCTTTACTTTGTGATAATTTTAAAATATAATTAAATTCATTATTAAAAAAAAGTATACCACACATCATCTTTAAAACGATCTCTTTTGATGGTTTTAAATATATTTTTGCAAAAATATTTTTATTTAAATTGGAGATAAAATGTAGTCAACTCTAATAATTATCTATAATAATTATAATGTTATAATAATCTATCTAAAAATTAATGTTGCTTTTCAACTTACTTGCGTTGCCATTGGTCTTGTTACAACTCTCTTAAAAACCCGTTCTTTGACTTTAATGTCTGCAGTTTTGTATTGCTGCAATTTAAAAGTAATCAATAATATAGTATTATTTAATAAAATAATTTTCAATTAAGTAGTACGTATATTAAAAAATAGTATATTAAGCAACAAGGGGGTAAACGCAGCCATTGTTTTAAGTTGATTTTGATATTTTGATACATTTTGATACATCAAAAGTTATGAGGTTTAAAACACAAACTTTGCAGGTGTCTAGTAAACAGAGTTTTGAATATTTTTTAATGAAAATTGTTGGAAAATGTTTATAATAATGTAGACCACGTCTGTTATGTGCGGGTTTATTGAAATTCTGTGTTAAAAAGACTTTATAAACAAATTTTGAGATTCCCATGAAGAGCTCTTCATATCTTCACAGACTTTTAAACATCTGTTAAATAGATATTTTAACGCTAAATTTCAATCAACCTGCACATAACCGAAGTTGTCTGTTATAATAATGTATTATTGTAAACATTTTCCAACAACTTTCATTAAGATACCTGCAAAATTTAGCATATTATTCTTGATGTCACGATGTTTCAAAAGGCCTTAAGGGGTTAGGCCACTGTAGATTTTATAAACAATGAAAATTTATTTTTTCTCAACTTTAAGATATGTCTAATAATAACTTATAATATCATTCTCTCCGTTTTTCAAGTACCCAAAATATATCACTTAAGGTCATAACATATGTAAAACTTTAAACGCATTTTTCTGAAGAACACATTTTTCTAAATATCCGGTAACTTTTCTCGCACAATGTTTGCCCAAATTGGCTAAAAATTAATTTACAGCTTTAAGATAACATTGTCTATCGAATTACGTACGGGTTTTTTGTTCAGTCAAAACATTTTTTTTATTAACAATTTTGTATCGAGTTTTCACATCAGAAATTGAAATTTTAATTCAAACAGGTGCCATATTTACAAAAATTGGTATTTTTCAATTCCCCTGAGTACTTTCATACACTGAAAAAAAATAGTATTGAACCAAGAAAATTTTACATGGTTCGAGAAAATCGTGGAATTAAATACGTTCAAATCAATTATGATATTTTTTCAAGAAAACCATTCAAGTGATATAGTATATTTGAAACAAGAACATAAGTTCTTGATGCAAGAAAATATGGAATTCAACAAAAAAGTTCATCGACTTGTATGATGTATAAAATGTATAAAATGAATAAAAAAATTTCTTGTTCTAAGAATATATGTAGTCAAATCAATTACTACATTTGATGCATTTAAATCTTTGTAAAGTTGCTTCAAGTAAATAAAGTTTAAAATCAAAATATTATTCATATTGTGACAAGAAAATATATTCTTGATCCAAGAAAATATATGGAATTCGTCCAAAAAGTTAACTGACTTGAACGAAATGTACGACATATTAAATGAATAAAAAAATTTTTTTGTTCCAAGAATATTTGCAGTCAAATTAATTTTTACATTTAGTTCAATCAAATCTACAACAATATTAGTTCAAATAATAATTTACTCGTTCTAAATGTAAAATTCATTTGAGTCAAAAAAAAATGTTTTTGACTGAAATAAATATAAATTTGAATCAAATAAAAAAATACTTAATTCAAGTAGAACATTTTCACATTTTTGCAAACAAAAAATTAAATAAATTATAATTTTCATATTTGGCACTGATTTCTCTTGAGGACTGAATTCTTAAATGTCTTAACATTAAATTTTGATGATTAAATTTTTGAAACCTACGGGGATCGAACCCAGACGCACCTACCTAATCTAAGACCTAACTGAAGATCACTTACGACCGCGGCCGGGAACCGACTTGAGAAGTTCTATTCGATATGTCTATATAAAGTGCAACTGTAAAAATATTGGTTGAATTCTATATATTTTCTTGGATCAAGGATATATTTTTTTCACAATATAAATAATATTTTGATTTAAATCTTTACTTACTTGAACCAACATTACAAAGATTTAAATGCAATAATTGATTTGACTACATATATTCTTAGAACAAGAAAATATTTTATTTATTTGATACATTTTATACTTCATACAAGTCGATAAAGTTTTTGGTTGAATTCTATATTTTCTTGCATCAAGAACATATGCTCTTCTTTCAAATATACTACACCAAGTAAATGGTTTTCTTGAAACAATATTGCTGCTTCAGAAAATATTTACTTATTTTTATTATTATATGTACATACATAATTTAAAGCACTCTCCAAACATAGAATGTCCATCTGGAGACTAACATTCTTTTTTCCTTCCTTTACTTTTTTCTAAAAGACATAATTTAGAAGAATTTTTAAATTTATTTTGAGATAATTTGAATAGATTATAAAAACTTACATTAAAAGCTTTCGCTTCCTTACGTCTCTCATCAAGAGCTCTCTGCTTGGCAATCTCTTCTGCAGTAGCATGACATTGCTGCTATACAAGAATGGACGATTATATTTAACTTTGGGCACATAACATAATTTTCTATTCTCTAAATCTAAGCAAGTGAAATATTTTTATATTATACTTTTGTCTTAATGGCCTTTGTGCACCCATTGAGTTTTCTTGATAGAAGATGGTGCTGTTTATGTTGTGATTTGGAAGTTTTTTTAAAAGTTATTGTTTTGTCATAAATTTGTTGAGAAGGGGGGAGCGAAAACATCAACCTAATTTTCAGAAAATTAAAAAAAAATTTTTTTATTACTTTAAATTATTTTTCCCGGTTAAATTTTTTGAATTTCCTAATCCAAACCATATGCAAAACTTTGAATTAAAAAAAATTTTTTATAAAAGTTTCTGCCCACACAATATACATAAATGGGCAATTCCGCGTCAGATTTCAGTCCACATTTTAAATTTGGGCAAACAATTTTTTTTCATTCCATAGAGAAATAAAAAGTATACGGGTGATTCCACGTCAGATTTTAGTTCAAATTTTAAATTCGTCCAAAACTATTTTTTTTTCATTCTTCATAGTAAAAAAACGTATACGTATTTTTTTTTTTGGTGCCCAAATTTTTGAGTTAAGAATTTTCAAAATTTTGGTTTTTGAAAAGTAGACCTATTTTCAACGACCTACAACTTGAAAACTATTGAATTTAGAAAAATTTCATTAAGAGAAAAAAGTTTCGATTTTTTGTCGACTTTTTAATAATGTCAAAAAAAAATTATTTTTGAATTTTTATTAAAAAAATAATAATTTTTTATAAACAAATTCATTTTTTTTCAATTTGGACATTTTTTTTTTAATTTTTTTTTTCATTAGATACCTGAAAATAATAAAAAACGTTTCACAAAGTTTTGGAGTGGGCCTGATGAGTTTAATGGGTGAAAATGAATTTTTAAACTCTGCGTGCAAGTTGAGCGCGCGACGTTAATAATTATATTATCAGTATTATTATTTTAAAGTATTAATTGTAATAGATATGTTATAAAATAAAAAAAAAACAAATTAAAAACTAACTTTAAAAAAACACTCCTACTTAAACTAGCAAAATTCGGATTGTACGTCGCGCGCTCAACTTGCATGCAGAGTTTAAAAATTCATTTTCACCCATTAAACTCATCAGGCCCACTCCAAAACTTTGTGAAACGTTTTTTATTATTTTTAGGTATCTAATGAAAAAAAAATTAAAAAAAAAAATGTCCAAATTGAAAAAAAATGAATTTGTTTATAAAAAATTATTATTTTTTTGATAAAAATTCAAAAATAATTTTTTTTTAACATTATTAAAAAGTCGACAAAAAATCAAAACTTTTTTCTCTTAATGAAATTTTTCTAAGTTCAATAGTTTTCAAGTTGTAGGTCGTTGAAAATAGGTCTACTTTTCAACAACTCGAAAGTTATTGATTTTAGAAAAAATCTCACTTAGACAAAAAAAGTTTTGTTTTTTTTCGACTTTTAAATAAAATTAATGAAATTTTTTTTTCAATTTTTATTTTAAATAAACAAATTAATTTTTTTTTCCATTTGAGCATTAAAAAAAATTTTTTGCTTTATTTCTTAGCTGGAAATGATAAGAATAGTTTGCATATAATTTTAGTCTCGTTTATATAATTTGTTTATAAAAAAAATGTTTTTTCTTTCGTTTGTAGTTTGATTTTTTATAAGGAAAATGAAGAGTTCTAGTGATAAAGAACGATATTTTTCAAAAAATGAAAAGAAAAATAAAATGAGTTTTTTAAAAATTAATAATAAAAAAATTTAATATTTTATAAACAATTGAATTTCCCAATTCTATAACTCGTTATGTTACTGTGTGCAACTGGAGTCTGGCTCACGTAGGGGACTTCGAATGGAGCGTTAAACGAGTTATAAAATTGGGAGGTTCAATTGCATTTTTAAAGTGTGAACGTTTATTAAAAAATTTTTATTTTTGCTTTATTTTTTGTCTGGGAATGGTAAAAATAGTTTGCAAGCAATTTTGCAGTGGGCTTAATTTTTTACAATAGTGAAAAAATGTTAATAGTAATAACTATTAATATTTTTTTACTATTATTATACTATTATTTACTACTTATTATTTACTATTATTACTATTACTATTTTAATGAGTTTTTAATGAAAATACACGATTTGGTGGAAATCATATTTGCTTACAACTTACATTGCTTTGCTTACATCGGATTTGCTTGTTCTCACCCTCCAAAGCACAGAGGTTTTAATGAAATTTTCTAAAACTTAGTTCTGGTATTGTATTTTCACCTAAAGATTACAAAAAATTATATTCAACCAGATTAAAATTAATTAAAATAATGTTATTGTGTAAAAATTGAAATTTTCGAAAAAGGCGGTCTTCCCTTTTAACTTTGCAATTTTCAACCAAACGGGATAGAATTTGATATTCTGATGTATTTTTACGAGTCATAATATAAAATATTATAAAATTATAGCGACCTTGATTAAAAATTATACAATTATGTACAGAACTGTAGGTTTTGATGCTAGAGTAACTCGCACTTGTCTGATTTTTTCCATTATTTAGAACAAAAATTTTTTTTATTACTAAAACTCTCTTCATTTCCCACATAAATAATTAGAATAAAATATATTTTGTTCAAAAATTTTTATTTTACTCAAACAGTTATTTAAACAAGAATTATCATCAGGACCACTCTAAAACTATTTGTAAACTATTTTCATTATTCTCAACTAAGAAATAAAGCTAAAAACATTTTTGTTAAACATTATTTCAAAAAAAATATTTAAACCTATTATATAAATAAAAAAAAATTACTGATCTTAGTAAGTCCTATGTGAACTGAAAATAGTGAATTTCTTGAGGTAATTTTAAATATTTTTAAAGTGTAAGGAGCAGAAAAACGTTTCTGTTTTTTTTATATTAATAAACATAAAAATGAAGAATAACTCAGCACAGTTGCACAATTTCTTAAATTATAATTTTAAAGTCATTAAGTGGAGAAGGGAAAGTTCCCTGCTTCTGGAGAATCACCCATATATATGAAAATAAATTAAATTTTTATACAGAACTTTATAAAATATTTAGAAGATCCAAGATATTCTCGGTTTTCCAGTGAATTTCACATCATTTCCCACTCAATTTTAAAAATTCCTATCACATTTCAGGATTTCTAGACATATTATAATAAATTATAGTAAACTAACATGTATTTAGAAAAAAAAATATAATTAATTAAGGAATGAAATATTGTCTAAAAAAAGAAATTAAAATTTTCACATTTTCATATATATACACAATAACAATATAAATTAAAAGTAACTAGAAATAAGAACTTACATCAACTTGTCTGCTTTGCATCTGAGTAGCCTGATTTTGATTAATATTGCTTTGTAATTCCTCGGAGGTAGGTGTGTACCTAATTCGAGGTTTTATAATTCGTTTTCCTCTTCCAACATCGTTTGGGGTTTCCTCCTCCAGCTACATATACAAGTGATATAATATCTTTATAAATATGAAAGAAACAAGGACGAAAAACCTTTTTTATAAAAGAAGAAAATTGCTTCTTTATGAGAGAAGTATATTTTTTGGTCATTCCATGAATATTTTGTATACAAAATCATCGACGAGTCACGTTTTTCAAAATTTTTTATTTTTGAAATATTAATAAGTCCATTATATTTTCCAGTAGATTTATCAAAATTAAAAATATTAAAATTTTAAAATGTCAATAACTATACTCTGTATAAAGTGTCAGTAGAATAAAAAAAAATCAAAAATGAATATAATTTTTTTAAGTAAAAAAATAAAAAAATGATTTTTTCTGATTTTTAGAACATTAATAACTCTGGATAGAAAAATCGTAAAATGTGTGCTAATAACTCGAAAGATGTGCCTTAAAAGACTGTCTAAAATAATAAAGATATATATATGTACTTGTAAATACATTTTTTGCAACACTAACCTCTAAAGTTGAATTTTACGCACGGAAAAGTGTGTGTAAAGTATCACTTTTCATATGGCCGTGCGTAAAGTAAATTAGCGTGCGCAAAGTTATACTTTACGCACGGTTAGGCCCTTTCAGGCCTTTCTCCAATAGGAACCTAAACTTTTGCGTTTCGTGACTGACGCGTTGATTTTAGCATTGGTTGCCAATAGCAACCGACGCAATGCATACGCAACGCAAGAGTTTAGGATCCTATTGGAGAAAGGCCTTTCCAGAATGGAGCCAAACGCAACGCAGACGCGACGCATCGCAATGCTAAGCAAATGGGGATGCGTCGCGTCTGCTTTGCGTTTAGCTCCATTCTGGAGAGGGCCTTATTTACTTTACGCACAGTTATGACATATTTTAATAAGTTTTTGAAAAAGAAGTTGAGTTAGGTCTAGGGAAAGAAACAAAAAGAGTAAAAATTATGAGATTCATAAAAATTTTAAAGCACATATTTTCCAAATTCAAGTTCCTCGGTCATTGCTCTTAAGAGTTGAGAGTTGCAAAAAACGTTGTATGATACACGTGCGTAAAGTTTATTATATTCGTCCGATTTGCAACACTCACCTTCGGCTCGTGCTGCAAACATCGCACTCATAATCACCTACTTTACGCACTTGTATCAGAAATAACTATTATAAAGTTCTAGAAAGAAAGGTATTGTAAAAAATTTTAATGATTAAAAACAATTACTTAATCTTTATAAATTTGTCTACAAATACATTAATTTTCTTCACAGCACCGGAAATTTCCTGAAAATTTATTAAACATTTACTTGCAACTTTTGGAATATTTAATTGCAAAGTTTGATCAAAATTGTTTAAAAAGTTAAATATCCCGATTGAAGAAATTTTTAACCCAAAAATTTCCTGAACAGGTAAATGAAGTTTTCGCCTAAGTTGATTTATAGGCGACAATTTAATGGAAATGTTCAGTAAACTTTTGTGCCAAATTATTTGTTAATCAGGACACTTGAATTTTTACACAATTTTTACTAAAGTTTGCAATTAAATATTCCTAAAATTACAATTAAATATTTAATAAATTTTCAGGATATTTTTGGTGCCGTGAGGGTTATTCTTTTTTCACTTGTGTGACCTAGGATTTAATAAAAAATTTAGCCCTACTGGTTTGATAGTACATATTTGAGCTATTTATAAAAAAGTGACGTTTATTAGACACTCACATGCGCGCGCGCATGCATATGATGCACAATAATAAGTTTATAATTTTTTTTTAATAACTTACATTTGGTGGTTCCATTTCTACTACAGCAAGCGTATGACTTTCATGATAGGAATCATCCAGATTATTTTGTGGCAGAGTCATGATATTTTTTTCCTTTTCGGCATCTTGAGCTTTATAGTTACTTTCGATCTGCAGCGAATAAAGAATATTTTTGTACCAAATATAAGATACTATTTGAAGATTAGTATAAACTTTAAGAATGCGCCAAGAATACTTTTTTATATGTAAGGTGAAACGCACAGTAGTTGTTCACTATTTTTTGAATGATTTTTAAAAAAATAACTTGCAACCTTTAAATTCGTAATGTGCAAATCAATTCAAACTCAACTATTAATTTTTAAAAAAAGTATTTAAAGATAAGTGCTTTAGACCCATAAGTTGATCACCGTATTTTACAAGTAGTCGATCAATTTTTATAGGTTTAATTGAGTATAATTAATTAATAATTTGATTGAACATGTATAAAGAGAGATTGTAATACTAGCTAATAATACTTGCAATATTTTTTAAAAAGTATGATCTTTATACCTTTATTTCTTTATGATCTTTATCTCTTTATACCAATTTAATCAATGACACAGCCCTACAAAATAAAAACAAATTGTTCGGCGAAGTAGACTAGTCATTTTGTACGTATTTTGGGTCGCTGAATCCGAATCCGGGGTTAGAATTTAACAGTTGGCTTTTATTTTGGAGATGAATTCAAAAAACTGTTCAAAAAGCAAAATAACATCAGAAAGTTGAAAAATTTTTGTATGACACTGCGATAGTGTGCTTCCATGTATTTGATGCTGCTGAATCCGAATTCAAAGTCAGAATTGTTAGATTCGTTTAAATTTTTGAGATAATTGCAAAGAATTGTAAAGAATTGCAAAAACTCAAAATCAGTTTTTTGGAATTATCTTTAACACTTAAGCCAATCTGGCAATTCTGACTACGAATTCAGATTCAGCGGGAAAAAATACATGGAAATACATTATACCAGTATTTCAATAAAAAAATATCTTTTCCCCTAATTCAGGGATTTGATCAGTTTTTTGCGATTATCTCAAAGAAAATTTGGTTTTGCCGAAACATTACAATAGTTTATTTCCATGTATTACCCAAAATACGTACAGAATGACTAGTCTAGTTCACCGGACAATTTTTTTATTGTGTAATAATTGCTTTTATCCAATTAGTCGATTTACCTTGCTATAAGGTTGATTCTCTTGAATAAAGAATTTAAGTTCTAAAAACTGTAGGATATTAGAAAAAAAATTTGTTTTTATAAGTTCACCTAATGAATATTTTAGAAATTATATAAATCTCCAAAAATTACACAAGGTGAATTTAAGTTCTAAAAACTGTAGGATATTAGAAAAAAAATTTGTTTTTATAAGTTCACCTAATGAATATTTTAGAAATTATATAAATCTCCAAAAATTACACAAGGTGAATTTTCGATATTTTTAAAATGTTGAAATACATAATTTTGATTTATAAAAAACTATATATATATATATATATTTTTTTTTTTTACCGTCAAAACCCGAATTTAGTAAAAACTAGTTTTAACTAGTCAAAACTAGTTTTACCAAACCTTCCTAGTAAAAAACTAGTTTTAAATGAATTTAAATGAAATAAGCCTTATATATATATATATATATATATATATATATATATATATGTATATATATATATAATATAACATATAACAATAAATAATATTATAAAAATATACGCATACATTCACATACACACACATTGACATAACACTATAAATAATAATAATAAACATAAATAAAAAAACATAATAATGTTATGTATAACATACACACATTTACACTATCATATATTATATTAAAAGATACATTTAATATAAGTACAAAACATTAGGTTAATAATTGATAACAAAAATTGTCCCGAGCGAGCGTTAGCGAGCGAGGATACATCGCTAGTTATTATTAACTTATTTGTACAAAATAATTGCCTGTACTTACCAATATTAGTCTATTTTTATTGTTAAGCATAAAAATATACCCAAGTAGCATGATATATCAACCATATGTCACGGTGATATCATCGGGGAATGTCACCGTGACATCAGGAAAATGTCAAAATGTCCGCCTTACGGTGATATCACACGGTGACATCGAGGTGATATCAAGGTGATATCACAGTCATATCACGGTGATATCATGGTGATATAATGGTGATATCACCGTGATATCATGTTGATGTTTTACAGGGACTTAAAATTTTTAAAAAATTATTATTATTATTATTTTTTTATTATTTTTATTATTTTTTTTATTTATTATTATTTTTTAAATTATTAAAAATTTTAAGTCCCTGTAAAATATCAACATGATATCACGGTGATATCACCATGATATCACCGTGATATCACCATGATATCACCGTGATATGACTGTGATATCACCTTGATGTCACCATGATATCACCTCGATGTCACCGTGTGATATCACCGTAAGGCGGACATTTTGACATTTTCCTGATGTCACGGTGACATTACCCGGTGATATCACCGTGACATCTGGTTGATATATCGTGCTACTTGGGTACCTAAATTCAGGTTATGTTTTTCAAAATAATATTACAGCTAACAGATCAAAACAGATATTTCTTGACATGCGTACGTTGATGGTATCTATCTGTTTTTTTCGCCACCTATGGGCAAGCTGAGTACTTGTCTTAGCTTACGACGAATCTTGGCACCATTTTAGTGAATTAAGTGCATGGGAGATTGGTCTCCTGAAGTCTATTCTCCATGGTGTTTGCATTTACGATTCCGGTTACGTTTCTATTCTGCTCAAGCCTTAATGCTGACTCTACATTGGCTGCGCAAAAGCGAACGTGAAGTGTGACGTCACCCATTTTGAATAACATTGTGACGTCAGCACGTTCACGTACTGGTTTGCGCAGCCAATGTAGACTCAGTATGAGGTTGAGTCCAGAATAGACCAAAAACATGAACGTATACGTAACGTCACAATGTATTTTAGGCGCTCTCCAGAATGGAGCTAAACGCAACGCAGACGCGACGCATCCCCATTTTCATTGGTCTATTCTGGACGGGCCCTGAATAACATTGTGACGTCAGCACATTCAAGTACACGTTTACACAGCGAATGTAGTCTCAGCATACAGGCATTTCTCCAATATAGTGAGTCTCCAATGGGACCCTAAGAACAAGCGTTGCGTATACGCCGCGTTGGTTCCCATTTAGTTTAGCATTAGTGTGGTCATGGTGCGTCTCCAATGGGACCCTAGGAACAAGCGTTGCGGATACGTCGCATTGGTTCCCATGTAGTTTAGCGTTGGAGACGTCATATGTCTACGTTTACGAATGCTCTTAGGTTCCTATTGGAGACGCACCATAAGAGCATTTAAAAAAAGCAGACGTATGATGGTGCGTCTCCAATAGGAACCTAAGAGCATTCGTAAACGTATGACGTCACCAACGCTAAACTACATGGGAACCAATGCGACGTGTACGCAACGCTTGTTCCTAGGGTCCCATTGGAGACGCACCATAATGGTGCGTCTCCAATAGGAGCATAAGAGCATTTATATAATACTTGCATAAAAAGTCTCACTTTTGACGCATGAAAAACCTGACAAAAAATGCGTTTTTTAGTGGAGCATGTTTTAATTACCGCCGAGCATGCACAGATCACTTCTGGTACTTTTATTCCACGATAGTTACTTTTTATCACACTTTTTTAACACACTAGTTTCTTTTTGTTACGATTATTTGACTTACGTAGTGCACAATGTACCCGACGCGCCATCTATCGAGAGGAAACTACTGTAAGTGACAGAAATCTCTGAATGTTACATTGTCTCTCCGACATCCAGTGTCGTCTGTTTTTTGATAATATTTATCAAACGCGAATTTCACAAAAATTGAATCTTCCAATTTCAATTAATGTGATGTGTGATAAAGAAGAAACAGCACCACACATACTCGAAGCAGCGCAAAAGGTTCGGGAAAACCTGCTACCTGACAAATCAGCGGAGCTATACAAAGCGGCATATAATCATTTCGTCACATGGCAAAAGCAGCAAAATACCAACTCTTTTTCGGAAGAAACATTTCTAGTTTATTTTAAAGATTTGACTACAACTTATAAACCTTCAACTCTTTGGTCGAAATACTCGATGTTGAAAAGTACCGTTTTAAATTTGCATCATGTCAATATGTCTAATTATAAAGAGTTATCCGCTTTTTTATCCAAAAATGGTAAAAACTTTAAAAGTAAAAAATCTAAAATTTTGGAACCAGAACATGTGGACCAGTTGTAAGAGAAGTACCAGATAAAGAATATTTGGCTATCAAGGTATGTACACATAACCTATAAATCATATTTAGACGTTTTTAGAAAAGAAATAGAAATATTTTGGAATAAATTAAAATAACTGTAGATAAAACTAAAAAAATAACTATATAAAAAAATAATAAATAAATAATAATAACAGTAATAAATAATAATAGTAATAATAACAATAAATAGTAAATAATAATAACAGTAATAAATAATAATAGTAATAATAACAATAAATAAATAGTAAATAATAATAACAGTAATAAATAATAATAGTAATAATAACAATAAATAAATAGTAAATAATAATAACAGTAATAAATAATAATAGTAATAATAACAATAAATAAATAGTAAATAATAATAACAGTAATAAATAAAAATTATAATAAAGTTTAAGTAGATAATAATAGTAAATAAATTAAATTAAAAATATTAATTACAGGTAGCACTTATTCTTGGTACAACTGGAGCCTGCAGGAGACAGGAGCTAAAAAATATCTCGATGAAAGATATTAAGCACCACGATGACATGGCTGTCATTTCGATTCCTGATACCAAGAACGATGTACCACGAAAATTCATTATAGATGGCGAGTTTTATCAGACTTTTAAGAAGTACGAAGCCCTTCGTCCAGAAAATGCTCTTTCGGACAGATTTTTTTTATGTCTACGAAATGGAAAATATTTGCGACAATATTTGCGGATGCGGGAGCAGATGTCATCACTTTGAAGCGCCATGGAGGTTGGAAATCGGACCAGGTTGCTATGGGCTATGTTGAGGATTCAGTC